TCAGAGGGCAGGGAACGTCTAATAGTCTATAAAAAGCATATGCAATCAGACGCCTTACATTTCTCTTTCGACATTACTGCTGCATTTTATGACATTTATTACGTACGTCCACTTTGACAACTTCTGGTTATCATCGCAGTTTTGTGAAAATCGAAACCATTGTAGCCAAAGTTAGTCGGGGAAGAGCAATAAATCCTCCTTTGTTGACCCCTGATAATATCTCAAAACGTATTAAGACCCATTTTCAAAAACTACCATATGTAGCATATATCAGTCTAATATAAAACGATTCATTGCCAATATTGAAGAAACTATTCAAAATGTTGATATACTCATGACGCATTTTGTTGGTATTTAGATAAATTACGTCAAATTTCTAGCTGGGAAACCTTAAACATATATTTAAAATGTATTTCATATAATTTTCTGTAGCACTATGTTCTCCAAATTGTAAAAAAATGATTTAGTTTTCACTTATGTTTGACCCCTGCTAATGACACACATAATTAAGCTCAAAAGACCGAAGCATATAAAGGCTGTCATAGAGGAGAAAACAAAACACTCTTTAGAGGAGGACACTTTTAGAGCATTGAGCAAAAAATACGAACAACAACGTTTTGATTTAGGCCCCTAGCTAATCGATATGATATTATCACAACTTGTTAAATTCAAATGAACAACTTTTCTATTTTCAATTACGGTATATTTTTTTGTTGTTGAAATACTGCTGACAGAAAAAGCATAGTTATAGGAAGAACAAAAGCATCCATACCTGGAGAGGTTCATAAATTACGAGAAGAACGCCAAACCTGTTGCATCCCACTTATTTTTCGACCATGTTTTATGGCAACAGAGTCAAGTAGATATGCCTATAGTTCAGTAAAGTAGTCGAAAATACAATGTGAAAATGTCTCATTTGAGATAAACCTCCCACTTTTTTTCCTAAATAGTATACGATTGATTGTGGCACTCGTGTTCTGCCCAACATAGGTACACATCACATAATTAATTATATACACTTTCTGCCCTTAACAAAGATATGTTTTATCCCAACAAAAGGTCACAGATGCATTTTGAGATGTCATTTCTGTATGTACATTTTAAATATATATTTTACACAATCAAGCTATGATAGACTATGAAGCTGAAAATAAGAAAAGTGGACCTGTCTTTCAAGATAGCTTTCGGATACGTACCTAGGTGCGAAATAACACTGTCATATTACCTCATTTTCAATTGAAAAAAGCTTCAAAAATGGTGCGAGGCCGTGACTTACCTCGCCTGCCTCATGCTTGCCTATTACTTTATCGATACTGCATGCACGATGTAGAACTTCAGCAAACTTAGCTCAAGTACTTCATCGAATTGGAGTCGGAGAAAACTGTATTTACATGGACATATTCAAACTGAAATCAGTTATGGTCCGTGTAATTTCTGTAGGTAAGCAGCCTAGAAACTCAGTGGTAAAGATCGGAGCGACCATTTTTAATGACAGGACTATTTGTTCCTCTGTGAATCTCAAATAATTCGGGGGAAAAACTTCATAAGTTGTCGCACTATTCCTTTAATTTGAAAACAAGCTTAACGAAAATTTGATGTAATCAGTAATTCCTCTTGACAGGTCTCAATATTATAACTAGACGTTGTTTGAACAAGTACAAACAAATATATGATAACCTTGGACGAGTATTTTAGTAGTGATACCCTTTCATTCTTTCCTTAAACCTTGCTATATATTGCAAGGGCATACAAGCAATTTGCTTCATTTAGCTACCTGAGCATATCTTAATTGAAACCATAGGTCAAAAGTGGTACATAACTGTTTTATGGAGCATTCATTTCAGAGATTGATATATTTGTGCCATTTGTTCACACCCAGATGCAACATCTAGCCCCGCCAAGAAAAACAATCTGAGAAACAAAATATTTAGAAAACTACACTTGTTATCTCAGCTATCTCATATCAAATCCAGCTTTTTGATCCTGATATACCAATAATTCAAAAGTACTATCTGCTTCCCAAATATTTCAATATGAATATGAATTTTGAACATGTCGGTCAAAAGGTTTTCAAAATAATGATGAAGACTGACCTTTATACTATATGGCGCAAACCAGAAAAACAACCTTAAAAATCTGTCGTGATCTGCTTGGTACTGAAATATTTGAATCAGCAATAGAATATAATGGGAATGCAATAATAGCATGGAGCTTGATTTATCCTGCACCTGCCTCATCAATACATACTGCATGCGTTGAATTCACATTCTACTTATTTTAAGCAACAGCTAACTAGAATCACTGGAAATGCGGAAATTCCGCATGTTGCAAAAAAAACTAAACAAGCTATTTTTGCTGATCAAAGATCTTATCATAATTGATGTAATTGAGTAGCTCGTTGACTTACTATCTTGAACAAACTATTTATAAGTCAAGTCGGAAATAAAATGTTTACGAACTTATCTTCATCCCTTCAGGAAAGCGAGGCTACCGGAACAGGAAACACGCCACAGTTTGATACAAAACTGACTGGAATGGGATTATTCTAAAACCCAACAAACATTGAAAGAGGCAAAATCTCACTCGCGCCATCGAATCCAATCGAGTCCGAACGTGCTGCGTCGAGTCCCATGATATCACATTGGAACTTGTTAATGTAAATTTTGCCCCATCGAGTCCCACCACATGTACCCTTTGCATTCGTTTGACTTCGCTGCTTAAAAGAGAGCTTCGTCTTCAAACGTAGTTTATAATTAGATCCTGGGCACAGGGTACCCACCATGCTCCATCTAGTCCCAGGGAAACGCTGTAATTTAGTTTAGAATGTTTTGTCGCAGCCATTTAACCCATAATGCCCCATCGAGTCCCATATATTGATGAGGCAAAGTTCCAAGGGGTCATATGGAGTCCAAAGGAAGTCCTATGGGACAAAGCTCCATGAAGTCCCAAGAGATCCTACGCAATGTTAGGTCTATTGAGGACCTACCATGCCACATTGGTGTACACGTATGTTGGACTTTAATATGCGTGCAGTCTCATGCATGCATGGTCTCTTGTTTTAAAAGGTGAAATTAGTGTTCACCAAGCATCATCAAGAAGCGACTATTGGAGGTTGAGTTTTTTGTTTTTGTAACAGAGACGCGGCCGCTCGGCGTTCTATCACTACTAAAGAGTCAATACATTTATGCGACAGATCGAGACGCCAATATAAATAGGAAGTGTTGGGATACATAATATCTCCACTAGTATGTAACCCCCCTATCACACCAAACTAGTTCTTACCCGTTCTTGCCAGCCCTACGAAAACGGCGTAAAACAGGCTCAATCTGGCTGTGGTCGGGAAATATGTTCCGTCCGTAGTACGTCCAGCTCGTCAGTAGGTTGTCACTCGTTCTAATTGTAGACCGTGACGACCAAGAGAACATTTTGAGCATGTTCTAAGTTCTAGAGGACCTACCGGTTCGAGTACGTTCGATGAAGTTTGTAAATAGACCTCAAACGGTTCTAAGTACGTCCAGTCCGTTCGTACACAGTTGAAGCCCGTTTTCGAGAACGTAGTGAGAACTAGTTTTGGTGTGATTGTAGGGTTACACCCCAGTCACATTTGTCGCACGGCGGCCGCAAGTCGACCGCAGATCAATTAAATCGGTGAATTTCTGCGGCGAGCGTAGAAAAACTACGCTCGCCTTGCGGCCTCCGTACGGCGAATGCAGATTTTTACAGGCCGCAGGGAAGGCGTAGAAATTATAACTCGGAGTTATAATTTTTGATCATTTCTGAGGTCTCCGTAGAAATCAACTGGCTCAACAAGATTGAATCATTATTTGTCAATGTTTCATGATCACTTTTCATTTGATATTTCATCTTAGCACTGTGAATAACATTTATAAATTGTCCCGACGTATATAAAATGAAAAAAGTATTATTTATCAACAGAAATTTTAAATTCACCGTGCAGCTGCCGTGGGAAATGTGACTGCAAAAGTATGAGAGCGCAGAAATTCCACGGCGAGCGTAGAAATGTTACTGGCCGCAGAAATGATAGGCCGCACGGCGGCCGCAGGAAATGTGACTGGGGTGTTAGTGATATGAATGAAAATCTAATCAAAGAAGGATATATGTGGTTTTCAAATATGTTGATCCAAATCAAGATGTTACGTAGACTAACAGAGCTGTAGCCCTGCCGCCATGCCTAAGTACAGGGAGTGGCGGGCTAGAAGTAAGGATCTTATGAGCAGAAAAGTGCCAACTGCACGCATTCGAATATGGGACAAAAGGTTTATATTGAGAAATCAAAATATCTTACGGAAGTCTGCTACCGAAGGGCATGCCATCTTGTTGTGGAGACACGGTAATACGCCAAGATTCAGTGAATTTATTATAGCTCGACGAAAGCCCGTTGGCGGAATAGCAGTTCATGTTTACACACGCGATATGTTTACACACGCAACATGATTACACACGCAACATCATCCGACTAGCACCTTGATACACAATTCCAATTATATTTCAAAGCAAAATGTGTTATATTCGCTCTATTTGGGATAACGTTTTCACCTTTGAGACTGCTATATAGCACATTTCAATTACATTATTGAAATAAAAAAGTTGTTAAATGCTATTGTGTCTGACAGGTTGACATGCGCTGTACTTTATCTTCGACTTGCAGCTATATGCTATACATACCATGCATATATATGGCCACTATCTTCATGACTACTGTCAATGACTATTCACATTTAAATGAAGTTAAACCAGTCTTAAAAGTTTTACAAGAAGATATAGAGAGAGTTTAAGTTTTAAGTTTAAGTTTTAGTTTAGAACCCCGATTAACAAGATTTATACCCGATAAAACCAAGCCCGAGCGAATTCCATTCATGATTAAATTATTTCTTGTATACTGATGTATTCATCATGCATGCAAGAGTTTGTTTATATAAATGACAATTATCATGCTATCTTTTATATATTTCATCAATCTTAAATTTTGAATCTTTCAGGCATAGCCATATATCCGGGAGGAGCAAAATTTCTTGCCTGTGGTCACTACTATAACAATGTCGTCACTTCAAAAGGTAGGCACTCTCGATACAATATTGATAGCATCAATGAAGGTATGAATTGTACAGTTTCCGAATGACGGTTTGTATTTATCACGTACAGCTGTAAGGTCAGTATTTATGTCAAAAGGCCTATGATATTTCAATTGATTAAATGAAATTTCTCTTATTGACCTTCTCTCAATTCAACATAATTCAAAACCCTTCATTATACACTAGGATTGCAGGTATAGGAGACACTGCCAGATATACTTGGGAGAAATGGTTTGAAAGATGAAAAGTATGTGGAAGTTAGTGGTTTGTTATGATTTTTCAAGAGATTCTAGGATGAATGACCCCTAATTTATGGCAGATTCTCTACTTGCAATGTTAAACGACAGTGTTCAGGCAGCCATTCATGTTGAAATCATGAATTAAAAATGGAAGCCCCGGTGCCTAACACCCCAGTCACATTTCCTACGGCGACCTTGCGGTCTATCATTTCTGCGACCAGTAGCTTTTCTACGCTCGCCGCAGAATTTCTGCGCTCTCATACTTTTGCAGTCACATTTCCCACGGCAGCCGCACGGTGAATTTTAAATTTATATTGATAAATAATAGTTTTTTTCATTTTATTTACATCAGGACAATTTATAAATGTTATTCAAAGTGCTAGGATGTAATATCAAATGAAAAGTGATCGTGAAACATTGACAAATAATGATTCAATCTTGTTGAGCCAGTTGATTTCTACGGGGACCTCAGAAATGAACAAAAATTATAATTCCGAGTTATAATTTCTACGCCTTCCCTGCGGCCTGTAAAAATCTGCATTCGCCGTACGGAGGCCGCAAGGCGAGCGTAGTTTTTCTACGCTCGCCGCAGAAATTCACCGATTTAATTATTCTGCGGTCGACTTGCGGCCGCCGTGCGACAAATGTGACTGGGGTGTTAGTAGATTTCGTTGTTATTTTCTAAACTACTCGTATATTAAGTCAATAACTTATGTTTGACAATAAATGAAATCCGTAATGTTACTGTAATTACCAGTAACACTAATAGTAAGAGAAAATACATGGATGGACAATTCTTTTAAAGTTAGTTTTGACTGTTATGTCCAAACAAATGAATGTTTTAAAATGTTCCCGATTAAATTTTTGAACTAACATTTCAGTACGACTTGGACAGTTAGATCTGCTGAACAGAAACTGCAGTTACGTCAACATGACGTATTCAGATCCGCATAATACGAACATATCACGGGACGTGCTCGTATTCCGAGGACCAACGAACTTTGTCGACAGGGAAGCAGTGTTTTTTCACTTCATGCTTGAGGACGAAACACGGGATTTCTTTACTGTCAGTTACTTTGTGTTCCAACAGTGGGATAGATTCAATGTAAGGTAATGACCATGGTCAAACGAGCTTTCTTGCTCTATATCGTACAGAGTGGGCCAAAACGTCCATATTTTTTTATTTGGCGATACTTTTTAATAAATGCATAATTATATTTTTAAAATGTTTTACTCAATTCTCCAATTGTTTCTGATATGGGATAAATGAACCTTCAGCTATTTCTAAATATGAAGGGTTATCAGGTCGAATTGAAAATTTACAGTTGTTAAAAATGGTTGACTAGATTTTATATGCCTGGTTACAACCATTGATTAAAAGATACTGTAGTGTACTCTTTTGTTCAAACTATCGCTTCTGAAATACTTTGTAAAGTTAAAAAAAATTATAGCCAGGGACTTTTTTCAAAAGAATGGCGTTTACTCGTGTATTCCTTAATAATTGGATTTTTCTATACCTATCCAAAACTTCAAATAGCAAAAAATATTATTTTGCAGCTCAGACAAGGTAGAGCGGTTGCTCAACTATCACCGTTACGTTCCAACGTACGCGTTATCCGCCGAATTGCGAATGTGGATAAAACTTAGTATGAAAGAAACGCATGTATCTGACGGTGACATGCACACTGAGTTTAAGGTGGAGGTAAATATAATCAAAGTTTCATTTTTCACTGTTCATTCGTAGATCCGTCGTCAGTGCTGAATAACATGATTACATATGTAAAAGCGATTAAATTAGTCATGTTTTTTTCAGTATAGCGTGGTTCGATTCATCGATAGGCGACCAGAAGATGATAAAAAGCGACATCTATTCTTTATTTTCTTCGAATGGAAAAACGATTTGATTGAAGAGTCCTACATGATGTATACTCAAACCCCATGGAGCGTAGGTGCAGGATTGTGTGCTGTACTTCTAACTCTCCATAGGGGTATACAAATTGCTCAACTCTCTTTCAAACGTGTACAAAAAGACAAACGTAGGCGAACTATACGGAGGAGAACAATTCAGGAAGTAAAGGAAGCAAAGCGAAGTGGAAGACGAGTTCCGCCTCAATTACTGAGAGGACAATCAGCGCCTGCATTCAATCATTAGATGACGCTCATTATATCAGTCGCCATGCCCAAGAACACTCATATTTGGATGCGTTCACAAAATACTTCAGAATAGCATTCGTGCGATTTAATTTTGCCAGAATGTTTACAATCTCTGAAGATTCACATTTTTTCAATTATTGATTACTAAAAGTTGATTCAGATGTTGTGGGTATCACATACAACATTTCTAGAGCTTCTAACGTACTGTCAAATCCTGTTACACTCACCTAGCATATAGATTTAGCTTGATGCATAAATTTTCTTATTTTGTATATTAAATTATATCAATCATAAATCTTAATTCATCAAGTGCGTGTCTACACCACATTGTTGTGAGACTTGTTTGTTTTTTGTACGTGAAATAAATAAACCTATCAATATGTTTCAGAAAAACAGCTACATTGATCATTTATTTCAGACGAATTCATCTAAAATAGGTCTACATTTTTAAACAAGGTACTGCCATGTGTACATTAACACTTACACATTGGGTCACATTTGCTCCGTTTTTCAATATTCCGCCCGCCTGATGAGTATTTTGTTTAAAATTATATTCAATTTTGAACAAAATACTCATCGGCCGAGCGCCGGTGTGAAAGAAATTATGGTCCCCTGGGGATTATGGTCCCCTTTCTCAAAGGCCCTTACCTCCTACCCTTTTACACCGGTGTTGAAGATCGGAGCAAATGTGACCACATTACTGGTGAGTAGATCATTCCGTTGCACACTGTTTGTTTAAATCAATACCTCTATCAGTTTTGCATTGATATTTATAAAAATGTTATTTTCATCTAAATTTAACTAAAATCATCACGTGACCATCTATTTTGGTTATTTATTTTGAAGAAAATGACCATCAAAGAATCCATTCAACTAACAACAGTTGACATCTTGAATCTGATCTTAGAGTTTGATATTGGGTATCCTAGGTCCAGGACATGGACTGCCATCTGGTGTCGTACTGCTGTGCCCACATGGCTCGCATGTGGATTCCACAGACTCGCAAGACTGACGGATCTCGTCCCATATTTCTCCTGAAATTCACATTTTAACAAATACAAAAAGGTGTAATGTAGGCTGTTGATCCCAGTGACAACCTACATTAGAATTCATTTTTAAATCACGCCAACGAATCAAGCCAGGGTTTGATCATAGCGAATAATATAAAATTCACCTTCTGGGCAATCTAGCTCTTCTTGCCATTGGTCGTTTTCACATCGATAATAGGTGTGACACATATTGTCATATATTGGGACGGATGCATTTCCAAATCCTGCACAAGACCGCAGTTGTCCACACGGAGCTTGGACCTCGTTGGCTCTTAAATAAACCCATTTGTGACTTTACAATAATCCAGATAAATTCGATGTAGCACATTTTTCATACATGGTGATTGGTGATGGTATACATAATGTGTATTGAGAGGTTTTGAATACAGAGTTTATCTCGAGGAAAATATGCATCTCCCGAGAAACCGCATATGTCCGGGACCTCGGCGATAAAAAAGAAGGATATATGCAGAAATATCCATCCCACTCCAAAGATACATTAGGCCTCTATGATCCCGCACGTCATGTACCTGGAAGCGTTTGGTTACGTTATCATGATAAGTGTGATAATCTTATAAATCATCGCCTATACGTAAGAATATCACACTTATGGACGTATATGAGCTGCGGAATAAAGGATGTTAAATCAAACACTTCATAAGTGAGATGTGGAACAGTCCAATATTACGTTCAACAATAATATTGAAGACAGATAATGGTAAAAAATGGTCAGGTAACATATTCATGCTCTGCAAAGCCGACAACATTATTTAAAGGACCCCTCCTGGGGTACTCTTTATAATTTTATACGATTTTGGATTTATTTATTATATGGCCTCTCGCCTGATCTTGGTATAACCTGGCGGGAAATTGTTTTTTATCTAGGTCAAGGTCAAAGGTCAAAATCGAGGTAAAAAATTGTCAACACATATTCAATATTTAAAGCCAAAATTTGGTATACTTATTGATGAGACTATGCTAATAGTGTGAGCCGAAAGGTATTTACTAGAAATTGTTTTGAGATATTTTGGTAGAAACGCTCAAAATCGTCATTTTCAATTTGCTTCAAATCGACTGATAATTAATCACAAAAGTCCTAATGAGGTCTAAAAAGCTAATGTAATTTTGCAAGGTCAAAGGTCAAGGTCATCAAACTAAATCACAAACTGTATTATCTATGTTTCTCAAAATTGGTGACTACAAATTAATATTTTTGCCTGATATTCGGGGAAAGCATTCCTTTAAAGCTTCTTTACGTTCTAGTAGATCATTGTTTACAGAAATTTTGCTCCAGTTTTGAGATATAAGAGCTAAAACGGAAAATATGTCATATTTCAAAAATCGAATTGAAAGGGTTAATATTTAGGTTTGGGTTAGGGTTAGGGTTAAAACTAGGATAAGGGTGAACGCCACGGTTAAGGCTAGAGCTAGGATTATGGTTAGTGCTTTAGAGCTAGGGTTAGTTTAGGGTCGGGGTTAGGGATAGACCTAGGGTCAGGGATTAAATCTAGGGTTAGGGTTAAAACCAGCTAGGATTGGGGTGAAAACTAGGGCTAGAGATATAAATGGGTCCTTCACGCGTGTGTTGGGTTGGTGTCAGATAATATTCAAAGCTGAACAATGGAATTTCATATCTTCACTGTTTTGTCCTGTAGGGCCTCCTTAAAACACCAAAATCAGACAAGTTCAAATTCGAAATCAAACTACGCTACCAGAACATTTCAGATCTGCAAACTAAATTGAAATCAACCCATTCGTTATCGAGTTATACGCGTTTGAAGGTCACCCCGACGATGGAAAATTTGCTTTATTTGCGCAAAAAACTATATCCCTGTTCCGATTCCTCCGAACTATAACACAGGGTTTCGAAATGCTTCTCTGGCCACCGCGAAATCAATTGTGGAAGGTAGAACGAGCGATAGGCTACTCAGATCTGTGCCAAAATCTCTATATTGACGTCCAGAACGCGATTCTATTTTTTTACCTCGTAGGCAGACTCTCAACGCACGTCTCTAGTGGTTCTCTTTGAGATTGCTTGCAGTCTTAGGTCTCTAGTTAAGATAGATAATACTTACGGAGCACATGTTTGGTTGACGCTGTCGGCCACCTCACCAGGTGCACATTGAACAGTAATGACGAGTCCACTCTCACATACCCGGAATGAGGTACATCCAAAGCCAATGTCACAAAATTTAGATTCATTCTCTGAGCATGTACAAACTCTTCCTGTTGAATGATGTTAGTTGAATGTACAGTTAACATTTCGTCATTTCGGGGTGGTCCAAAAATGGAACATTACATGAATCTCTGTCTTGGAATACTAAGCATAGTTCTTTCTAATGCACTTGGTCTGTCTAGAGGGTATAAATGCAGCCTATCATGTTAATGGGTTAACAAGCCAATGTTTGGTATGACCCCTCTTCTCCTGATCATGAATTACAAGTTCAATCCAGGGATTCCATTTTGAAATAATTCATTTGCTACATTCGTTTTCCTCCAAGCTGGCTGCTAACTTCATTAAAACCTGGCCAAACTTACATGTTTAATGTAGATATGTGCCTTGAAAGACCAAATCTTGTAATGCGATCAACTTTTCTAATCCAGAAACTCATTATAGTGAAAAAAATAAACAACATATGGAGAATGCAATGGGGTGGAGAGATTTATGGAATTCCAGGAACTGCTTCTAGTAAAGGGCAGTTGATATTAATAAATAAAAAATCAGACATTAACATAGTTGGAGGTATTATTAACTACCAAAATGATAGAATACAACATACTTATAACGTTAATAAACTGTTACGGGCCGAATATAGATAGAGAGAAAATTGATTTCTGAAAATTATCTGATATTATTGATGATGCAGGGACAGATGGAAGTGAAATAATTGTTGCAGGAGACATGAACACTGTGATAAATAATGATTTAGACATAATTAATGGTAAAAAACACAATGAAAGAGCTGTTCAAAAATTCAAATTAGCTATTGAAACAAATGATATAACAGACATTTGGAGAGCAAATAAGGGTGATAAAAAACAATATACATGGTGTCAAAATAATCCATTTATTGCTCGAAGATTAGACTATGTATTTTTGTCAGAGGGATTAGCCAAAAAAACAAAAGAAGCTGAAATTATTCCATGCAGTTGTTCAGATCACTGTGCTGTAATGGTTGAATGGAATGATACTGAGATAAAACGTGGTAAAGGTCACTGGAAATTCAACAATAGTCATTTAAAAGATATTAATTTTGTAAATAAGATAAACAGTGTAATTCAAGAAACTATAGCAGAATATGTTAATATTGTCAACCCACAAGTATTATGGGATACATGCAAATGCATTATAAAACAGACATGTATTGAATTTGGAAAAAAGAAGCACATGAAAAACAAAAATCTTTAAAAGCATTAGAAGATAATCTTAAAGAAGCTCAAGAGATTTTATCTGAAAATGTAAATGAAGAAAATCAAAAGAATGTGTTGAATTTGAAATTAAAACATGAAATCTTAACACAAAATAAAACCAAAGGTGCACAAATTAGGTCGAGAGAAAAGTGGATAGAAGAGGGGGAGAGAAATACAAAATATTTTTTAGGATTAGAAAAACATAGGGCAAAAATGAAATCTATTGAAACTTTACAAGATGATAATGGGGTTAATACAAACAATATGGATGAGGTAATGAACACGCTATATGTATATTATCAAAATCTATACAAAGAAAACCATGACATCAAATATACTTTAGATAACTTCCTAGATGATGTTCAAACACCCAAATTATCAGAGAATGAAAATAGACACATAGAAGGATTAATAACTGAGTCAGAATGTTATATAGCAATTAAAAAGATGAAGTGTAATACGAGTCCTGGAATAGATGGGTTAACACCTGAGTTTTATAAGGTATTTTGGTCTAAAGTGAAAGTATTAATGGTTAATTCATTCAACTATGCATTTCAGTCAGGTAGATTATCTAATAGTCAGAGGAAAGGAATAATATCGTTATTATTAAAGGGTAACGAACTCCCTAGATATAAACTTAAGACTTATAGGCCTTTATCATTAACATGTGTTGATTATAGGATAGGAGCAGCTGTCCTAGCAGCAAGAATCCAAAAAGTTATTAAAAATCTGGTTAATTCTGATCAAAACTCATATATGAAAGAAAGAGGAATACACTTAAATCTTAGAGTAATCGATGATATTTTGAATTTTGTGAATGATAATAACAGTCAAGGGATTATGATAACATTAGATTATTCCCGTGCGTTTGATTCAATTTCTAAAAAAATTGTGTTTGACATGATGAAAAATTTTAATTTTGGAGAAGATATGATAACTTGGATCAAAGTATTCAATGCTGATAATTTATCTTGTGTAACAAACAATGGGTCGTACACAAAATGGTTCCCTTTAAATCAAGGATTACGGCAGGTTTGCCCCCCTCAGTAGTTTGTGCTTCATTCTAGCTACTGAAATATTTGCGTGTAAAGTTAGGCAAAATAAAGATATAAAAGGTATAAAAATATCAAATGAATGTGAAGTGAAATTATCAAGTTATGCAGATGATGTATCATGTTTTGTTAGAGATATAAATTCAGCTCAACTATTATTTCGAGAATCAGACCACTTTTATCTTACAACAGGTTTAACATTAAATAAAGAAAAAACAAATGCAATGTGGATTGGCTCAAATAAAAACAACATTGAAACGCCATTAAACATAACATGGCAAATAGGGGAAAATGCAAAAGTGAAAATTCTAGGAGTTTGGTTTTCAAATCAATGTTCAGCTGCACAGATTGAGGAGAACTGGTTACCAAAAATAATTAAAATGGAAACGTTGATAAAAAATTGGAGTAAACGTAATCTCACATTGAAGGGTAAAATTACTCTTGCAAAAAGTTTAGTAGCCTCACAAGTGACATCACTTTTAATGTCATTCAAAGCTCCAGATAAATATTTGGAAAGAATAAATAGTATCTTACATAAATTTATTTGGGGGAGTGAAAAAGGAAAAGATAGAATAAAAAGAAATGTTTTAAGACAAAGTTATGATAAGGGAGGTTTCAAAATGATAGATATTTTTGTAAGTCAGGATGCACTCTTAACCCTTAAATGTTTTTTTTACACCCTCTAAAGGTTTTTGGGGTCCGTTTGGACCCCAATATACATTTTGCAATTACTATGCAACCAGAGAAGCTTTTTTTTCATTCTGACTTCAGTTCTACATAGAGTAATCTATTACCTTTCAGAATATGTATGCATTATTTATCATGAAAGCATGGAAATATGTGTAAACCTAATTATAAGGAGTCAGGTGTTCTAGCATTTTGTAACACTTTGTAGCATTTATATATAACACTGTATTAATTGAATATGTTTCAGTGATAGTGATGTTCTTTGGCCTCAGGTAGCACAAAAAGTCATGATGCGATTTATATCTGGTTTGTTTTATCTGAAAGGAATTTTTTCCAACTCTACAATGTATCATTTTCTTGCTCCACATACCCTGTTGTCATGTTGCTATGGAAACCAGATACCTATGTTACTTGTCAAGTTAATTGTTTATTTTTACACAAAATGGAACTACTATATATGGGGTGGTTGAGGCCAAATATGAACAATATTCATAAAATATTAAGATTTTTAGAGCAAACGGTTCGGAACTTTTGGATCAACCCTCGTATATTAAATCTTAATCAATCAATTCCAAATTGTGAAGAAAAGTGGAAAGGTTATTATCCAACAATAAATTGGAAAGAGATTTGGAGTCGAATAAAAACCTTAAAAGAACCAAGATTAAAAACGCTAGACACATATGAACATTTCTTTATACAATGTCCAAAGATTAGAGAAATATGGAATGAAGTAGAGAATCTAGTGTTGAAGAAATATTTTTATTACCCCAGATTAAATGTGAAGGATAAGTTATTTGAAATCAAATTAAAATCCAGATCTAAGGAAGTATATATAAATAGCCTAATTCTCATAGTTAAGGTTTGTGTGAGTAAATATAAATATGGAAATTATCCAAATATTTTATGTTTGCTCAGAAGTGAAATAGCAATTAGGAAATTGTAAAGGAAACATTATTATATATTGTTGTTGTAGTAAAATATAATGTACTGTAATGTAATATGTTTATGCAATAGCAATAATAATAAAAAAATAAAAAAAAACTTTTTCTAATCCAAATTGATTGGAATCGAGCATATTTTGATGGTTATTGTTTGGTGTACTGATTGAATATTCTTCTCCAGAAGAGAGCAATCTGTTTCAACTGGTACATGGTAACATGTATATGTGTATAAAGTTGGTCTTTAACTGATAGGTAACTGATAACTGATAGGTAACTGATAACTGATAGGTCAATATTGCTTTTATTGGAAAGTTGAAAGAACGAGTTTGGCGCCGAAGTAGCCCTTTGGGTTTTGCAGCGGCAAATTGAAGTGTATATCATAGAATAGTGGGTCATATCAAACTTTAGCCAGTTTAATGCATCATCTTTATGAATTGCCCTTATAAACATGACAGATAAATAATTGACTGAACTATGATCAGGTTGGTGCATTTTATTTCAAAAACAAATGTTATGTGTACGATTAACAAACAACGTCCTACTTTTTTGGACCACGCTGTACTATCGGTATTTGTTCTTTAATTGAGGGCCGCTGTTTGATTACTTAGTCAGTACTTTGATATTACAAAATAAAAAGTCGAAAAGATGAAGGCATCCTAATACTTACTCCTTTCTCTCTGACATATGAAATCAAGATCGTCATTGTAACAATGTCTATCGTCCCAATACCCTTTGACTATTTCATCTCTACCCGCGAGTGCTATGCAATGATTTGGAGGCCCAGATGGTTCACCCACAGCCCAGAAGTTATTTCTGAAATCATAGATTTGATGATCACGTTTACTCCTCCTTAAGCCATATCTGGCTCAAAAATTAATTTAGAGAAAAAAATATCAAAAATTGACCTTACATAAATATGATAGCAAAGCATACTGGTCTATCTAATAACCAAGCTTTTGGGGAAATCAAAAATGCCTTTCTTTACTTCATGATACAGACGGCTGTCCTCACTTGGACATTCGAAGTGAGGCAAATCTTTTTCATGCGCATTTTATTCAAAAACATCATATCCATGAAGATGCTGGTCATGTTATTCTAAATCCAAGAAAACAAGAAGTTTTTCAACACATAAAAGGAAGAAGTGGTATCGATATGGGGAATACCATATATACATGTATATAAAAAATAAGGTAAATAGCAATAGTGCACATATAAAGAATTTAAGGTTGTACATAATTAGCGTTCATGAGCTTTTATAATTATTGATTATGTATTTTATATGTTCAACTTATGTGATCGTGAGTTTATAAATTAATATGTTTGTAATCTTCTTTTATGGAGGAAATAAAGGTAATACATACATACACACATACATACATACACTCCCCTCCATAAGTTTGGCAACCTTAACTCCCCCATTGAACTACATGCTAAAGTCTCTTTACCTTTGAATTTTTATTTACTTAACCTACAATGAAAATACTTATACCATTGATGGAAACGTAATTTAACATTATTTCCAATACCTCCAATTTTTTTCAATTTTTTCCTCAATTACAATAAGTCGAAAATTGATGATTTTGATGAATTTTTGAAAATCGACATTCCCATGTTAACCGATGGGAAATGGTAGGTTTGCCGCAAGTCATATGACAGAATATCCATACATCCGAGTCTTTGCAAAAAATACGAGTTAGGCAGGCAATTGAATTTGCTAACTTTATTTCACAAAAGATTTATATGTTTCTTCAGGTTCAACAAAGTTATAGGGCTTTAAAGTCAAAATTGTTTTTCAAAAAACCTCTCCCATTGAAATAACACAGGAGGCGAAAAATTATTTTCAAAAATGACTTTGAAGCGCTGTAACTTTAGTAATCATCAAATAAACTAAATAACTTAGTGTACAAAAAAGTTAGACAATTCAATTTTCTATATAAAAAATATTTTTTGCTGAATCTTTTACTGAAAAGATATTCTCATTTCTGATTTGCCTCGAACCCTCCATTTCCCATTGGATTACATTAGGGAATGACGATTGTCAAAAATTCATCAAATTTATGATCAATTTTCGACCTATTGTTATTGAGGAAAAAATTGAAAAGAGGCTTTAACACGTAGTTCAATTATGGAATGTTTTCTGCTTCATTATTCGTATTTTACAATATGTATTCGTATATTGAACTTTTGAATTTGTTAAAAGTACATTAATGTTCGTAACTTGAGTATTTTAATTCATTGTTTGTATTTTCTGTTCGTTAATCTAATTTGTTTCGTTAAAACGTTTCGTTATATGTAGGTGTTTTATACAGAAATACATTCAAAAGTCCTCAAAAGCATTTGTAAGTGACACATTGTATATCCGTATTCAAATAAATTTAAGTTCATTTTTTACCATTATCGTTGTTTCTGCAAATATATTAGTTTAATATCTACGAACTGAATGTCAAATTTATCAATGAATAAGTACTTGCCTTGGCATTTCATTTTTTAATTGTCGAATTTATTTTCGTAACAAGGTAATATGTTTCTGTAAAAGTGCACATTTACTGTTCGTAAAAATTGTCATTTGTATTCGTAAATTGCACTTATATATTCATTTTTCATTGGTTCATTAAGATCACGTGATCATTCTCAACGAGACATGGTCAAGACATGGTCAAAGTCATCACCCCCTCCCTCACACACACCTAAAACTCTCATGTCACGTGACCTATGCCCCGAGACTTGCAGTTCATATTCGTAAACTCACATTTGTATTCGTAAACACTCACATTTATATTCGTAAAGTTTCATTTTATTATTCGTTAATGTACGAATATTTCTTTGCTTTCTGCAATAATTCATGGGTAATTTGCAAGATTATTATTCGTAAAAATACATTTCTGCGATAAAATAACTGGCAACTTATTTGAAATTTACGAATTATATAAACTGTAGTTGGCGAATAATAAATTGCTAGTTACAAATATTTCCAGTCCTTACAAACATAAAATGCACCCGATTTAGGAATTATTTGTGTATTTGATACACCATATATGTATTTGTAACTTAGGCATTTTATTTGTAAATGTTACATTAATATTCGTATAAGGGAATTTATTACAAACGAATACTGAATCAGTTATGGCGCTATATTCAATTGGGACGCTAAGCTTATGGAGGGGAGTGTACATACACATTGTCAATTTAATGGTCATCTTTTGGATGGTAACATTATAATTTGAAATATATATATTTACTTTTCTCTATATTGTTTTAGAAAACACATCCGACACTTCTTTTGTTCTTGGTATCATATGTTCGGAATGAAATGAAACATCTATCCGAACCTCATTGGAACAAAACGACATAAATACAACGTGTTTAGGTCTCTCAATATTGTAATTGTACAAAGGAAAGTTTGGTTGATTTTAAAAAAGTATCTTGTTAATGAAATAAAAGGTTTATCTTAATTTTTATATATTTTGGGGGGTTTTGTTTTAAGTTTTTGCATACTTTTTGTTAAATCAACCAAAATTTCCTTTGTATAACTATAATATTGAGAGGTCTAAGAAAATGTTGTATATATAGAAAAACAATTTTTTTAACAAAACAGTTATATAAAATATATATAAATAATTCTTGCATTAAATTGTGGCCAATCAGTCAACATAACACAAAGGCCTGTGTTTTTTACGGAATCTTTTCAATAATTGGTTTAAGAGAAAAACATTGTTGAATTCAGTTCGCCATATCGATACCTATCCTTTATGATATACTCCTCTCACTTGATATAAACAAGGCAACTGGGCCAGACATGCAATCGAATGATAAAAATAGCTGCTCCATCTCTTTCCCCAATTTTCTCTAAATTATTTAACAAAATGTTTCGTCTCAATAAATTCCCGAAAATTTGGAAAATGGGAAATGTATGTTGTCCCAATTCACAAAAAGGGGAATTAGTCCAAAATTATCGACAAATTACTTTGTTATGCTGCTGCACCATTATAAGCAACTAGGTTTTATACTAGACAAACATTTGACTTTTGAAAATCACATTAATGAAATTGGAAACAAACTTTACAAGGAACTAAATCCGCTTAAATCTCTCAGTCAAAAGATTGGAGGAAAACACCTAGAACTAATATTTAAATCCTTTATCCTGCATTTATTTTATTATTGTGTGATATTATCTATGGATGTGCAAATGCCACCAAATTAACATTACTTGACAGGCTTTTTTATAAAGCAGCTTAATTGTATCTGTTCTGGTGTCTTACCAGTAACCACATCTCCCTTAAAATGCTTAAAACGTATCTGAATATAATGAAGAAAGATGCACAGAAATGTTCTTATGTATAGAGCTCATCTTTTGTCTGATTATGTATCAAATATTTTTCAGCCATTCAAAAGAAATCAAAATAGAACCAATCGGCACAAATTTGACTACACTATTCCGATAAAGTAGCTTGCCATTTATAATACATTAATAATTATGTATTTTAATGCTATGAATGAGCGGAATTCATTTTCACCAAAATCAGAAACTCAAATAATTTAAATGTTTTAAATCAGAAATTAAAAAGGATATAATAAATACTGAATTCGTACTTCAGTCTTCAGTATTTTCATCACAGGTTAAGTAAATAAAAATTGATAGGTAAAGAGGCTTACGTAGTTCAATGGGAGAGCAAAGGTTGCCAAACTTATGGAGGGGAGTGTAAATCAATGTCGTATGAAATTATCGGAAAACAAAATATTTCTATTACGTTTTTATGTTTTGAAAAAATAAAGAGTTGCGGTTTCGTGTGTGTGGATATTGATTGGAATCCAGATGTCGTTTTCCCTCATGTTATTTGATTATAGAATTCACGTACGCATGCGCTTGATCCCAAGGCGTGCCATCCAGCCAATAATAGCTTCCATTTCTCCAAGGCTCATCAAGTCCGCCAATCCAGTAATCGCGTTGCCGACGCCCCACTACGTCCTGTCTTAACTGGAACCATTCCTGTTATGTGAACAGTAGACATTCTGAATCGTGTTTTGATTAAGGCTAATCGGTTTATATTCACATACAGCTAGGCGTGATATATCACGCACATTCCAGCAAATCACAGTATATAATATAAGACACCAAAGGTATACCATTTTTAAATGTTGAAATGTAAACAAAATATGAAAAGGTCGAACCTTGTAAACCCCTCGTAAAAAAGTTTCTTCCGTGCGCACGTCTATAGGTACGTCCGTGTAATAACTAAATACCGTTGGACCGATACGATATTTTATACATTAATGCCCTGTGGGGGTACAAGTTCTCCTCGAAAGCAGATTTTCAAAATGGCCACCAGTTTTAAATAAGCCGCCATTCTAGTGTCAATTTTACAGTATCTTAGGTACAACATATTAAACTGTAATATCAAGATATTTAAAATGCAACAGAATCATGTAATGATTAAGTTCAGGAAAATCTAAATATTTAAAAAAACTTGGTGGTGAAAAAAGCGGCTGTTACATGCTGTTTTACGATTTCTACAGTATCTGGAAAACTAGTGGAGTGATTTTGTTCATATTTGATATTTGAAAACTTATTCAAATGGCACTGAGAGAGCACGTGCTCATGATTGTTCACATGATCACAATCTGCAATTTGATTGGACATCATATAATGGGGAATCCCCGAATACGATAGAATATGAAAGAACTATGGGAGCTACTCACTACAAATTTGTTCTGCGTCAATGTGCAAAATGCAAGCTTTACTTACAGCGATGTCTTGTGTATTTGGGGTTGCTAGTTTTGCCCCACGAAGCTGGCATTGTTGGTTTGCTTCAAAGAAGTTCATTTGGCCGACCGCTCCGTCATTACTACTGTGCCAGAAGCAGAAGTCTCCCCTTTGCTCCAGTCTGTATGCTAGGTCACATGGTTCATAAGGAGGGAGATCCTGACCAAAGGCTGTAAATAGATAACAACACATTACAGCAAATACTCCAAATACAGATAATACATTACAGACTCCAGATATCATCCATTCTAGACCTGGTCCTACTTCGAGGCAGGCAAAGTGTAATGAAAACTATTGGTTCGATTTTGCAAACGAAGCACGGGTTGGAATTTGTCTGCAGCGGGCAAAATGTAGCCTTGCCCAAGTCGGTCTCTCTTACTTAGTCTTGATTTCTATTATGGTAATAATTCAAGATCAGGATAAGTAAAAAAAAATACCGACTTTGGCAAGACTAGGGAAAATGCTATTTTTCATAAAACTAAGAAAATATCACACATTATTTGTTTACTCATGTTTCGTTATAATAAAGAAAATTATACCTAAATTTAAATGAAAATTATGTTTTTTTGTCCGTCTTGGTGGGCAGTTTCAAAAGTGAAATACATAAGAATATTCCTAATATATCTTTTACGACTACACTTTGGATGAGAGAACGTGTCAAACCCGTTTCCAAATTTGCCTCGTATAACATCAAAAATGCACGTTGCAAAACTGAAAGTAACGCATCTTCTCTATCAACCCGATTTAGTTTGTTATCTGAAAAATTGCCACGTGAAAATATCAGAAATTCTGTTATTTTAGCGGCAGTGGTGTAATTGAAGTGTTTGAAACTGTGACTGGGATTCATGTCTTAGAAAATATGATTAATAAAAAGGATTTATTTTACTTCAAGTATCTAACCTCTATTCAAAATATACAGTACACAATACTTATATGTTTTAGCTTTAATTTGATCATGAAAACTAGTTTTTAAAAAGAATGGTTAGAATCTGCTTACCCAATAATGATGATAGCATGAAATATACACTGATAAACAGAATCATTTTAGTTTAGCTTTAATTGCAACTCAAATATGCAATTGTCCCATCAAAATGCTACCAACAAATCAAGAAACAAGTGAAAGTCAGCAGATACCAATATTCAAACCCTATATTTTCGTTTAGATAAATGCTATTCATATCTCAAAAATAACGACTCTTTCATTCACATGGCCCTAAACAACACATGCGTTTTCTCAAGATCTAGGACACCTTATTTAAAATTAATTTTGCAGCCATTGTGTTTCCCACGTAATCATGAGTCGTATGTTTGTCTGCAGAATCAACAAAAGTCCCCAGTCTATCCTACAGCAAGTTAGTGTTGACGTTCTTAACTTGTTGGACGACTGTATTGATCTGAATTCGAACATGACTGTATTCACGCCTATAGACTGTGAAAAAAGTAAATATTTCAACCAGGTTATATTCGCGAACAATACACCTGGTAATTCGAGTAATGTGTGACGTCATAACGGCGGGTCGTAGTAATGGCGACCATAAATGTAAAATCATAAAACTCCCTTTTATCGTTCAGGGTACAGAAAACGTTTGTGCCTAGTCCTGCGGGGTGTATTCGACAATATAACCCCTGCTCTTCGGTCTATATTTCAAGCTGATATTTCTTAAATAATGAGTGCATGTACATGTAGTTGTGTAATTGCTACTGGGGCTTACATCCTCCTGATGAAGTGTTACAGCATCCATTGCGCATGCATTCCAGTCTGTGCATTCTGAACAATGCACTGCCTGGGTGGCAATATGAGGAAACATGGAATCATCAGTCCTTTTTGGCTCGAAGGTTGACTGGGGACGTGTTATTACCATGAGCAAGGACCAGTAAGTTTTCACTAAGTTTTGGAGGTCACTAAGCACCAGAAGGGACATCTAAGGAGATAAGTTATGCAAATGATATGCTGAAATGGTTTAGGCAATGCTCTGGTGGTCAGCTCATCAGTTGCAGAACGCAAACCATATGGGCAGCCCATTCGCCAGATCTAAATCCCCCAAATTATCCACATTAATGTGTGTAGGTCAGGGTCATTAACAACTTTGTTCGCAGAATTCGATTGTGCATAGAGAGGAGAAGTGCCTACTTTGAGCATGTTTTGTAAAGTACTTTAGTTTTTGACACAATGAACAGATTCTCATCAAACTTTCAGAACAAAATTCACATTGAATGAACTAAATAATTGCAAAATTTCAAGTCAAAATATGCAAAATTGATTGAGTAATTCAACTTTTTTACGGTCCTGTTTTTTGGACACCCTGTACAACAGTGCCTTTATAGTTCCTTTATTTAAGAAATATAGACCGAAGAGCAGGGGTAATATTGTCGAATACACCCTGCAGGGCTAGGCACAAACGTTTTCTGTACCCTGAACGACCGAAGGGAGTGAGGGGTTCGAAAGCTTTTGTGCCTAGCCCTAAGGGGTGTATTCGACGGGATTACCCCTGCTCTGAGGTCTATATTACGATTCGAACATGAAAACTCATACAAAATGTTTCGAATATTCATTATGGTCCGCCATTACTACGGTCCGCCGTTATGACGTCACAAATTACACGTATTACCAGGGGCAATGTTCGCGAATATACCCCGGGTGAAATGTTGACTTTATTTACAGTTTATAGAAGGCGTGAATACAGTCATGTTCGAATTTTTCATAATGCATTGGCTGGGCAGTGCTGTTCTTCATAATTTTTCTGCAAACTTTAGCATCAAATGAATAACTGTATTGTACTTAAATAAAATAATTTGACGAATAAAGCCTTCTAAATAGTTTTCAAAGGAATATTATGATCAAGTGTAACTCGACACCCCTATTTCTAAAACATAAACTAGTCCAGCTTTAGCCCTACAGCGCCCTCTAAAAAGGTGAATATTGCAGTTGTTGTTCAACACGCCTTACCATCGACAAGGTACAGTCACGTGACAGTGACAAAATATACCGTAGTACACTTTTGATGTACTATGTCACTATTAACTGATTTTAAGCAAAGACTATGATGTAGGTTTGATGCAGGTTTTCAAAAATAAATTTGAGGAATACATAAAGCATTTCATGTTTGATTTCGCGTGTATTCGATTTCAAAGACATTTATTTTTCTAATTACGTTAAAAGATCTTCGAGCAGTGCTCAATTTTTTTCGTTGTACGTCTACCCATACAATTGTTCGGTTGGAAAAATGTTGTTTTTTACACATATCCTTTGATAATTTTCTCCACTGACGTCTCAGAGTATCGAATATTTTTATGAGAATGTGTTTCTCTAAACTGCACAGTTTAAGACGGGTGAAGATTTAATAAATATTCATGCATTTGGTATAATTTAAAAAATCAGAAATGTACGTTGTCAACTCACAGGGTATGTTGTCCCTGTAATTGAAATTCAACGAACATGCTCCTGTATCCCTAGTACAGATAAACAGGTAAAAGTGAATTTTTCGTTGAATGCTATTTTATTTTATGAAAGTGTTAATATGGTGATTAATATGTGACCATGGCGTGTTATTTTCCGACCTCTTTGACCACTCGGCGTCGGTACGTTACGTTATGATTAGTTGCATGGAGAGATCTATACTAGCTAATCCAAGATGACTTTCAAAATTTATGCTACAGGGTGTCCCGAAAGTATGGCCCCCCTAGGCAGACATATACCAATGTCTCCATAGTATGTGTCATATATCATTTTAAAGCTCATCCAAAGTTACATTAATTTGCCGAGCATCATGGTTCAACTCACAAATGGAAAAAGTTACAGGAATTTCAAAAGTTAGTGTTTGGCCAAAATTAAAGTCAGTTTTACACCAAAACAATAGTCGGTGTGTCTCCTTAGCCGCCATGTTAACAGCAGCAAAACTTTCCATATATGACCGTAAACAGGCTTCAAATAGGGATATGGCGTTTTGTTATCCTCATAAAAACCCGTTTAAGGCATAAGAAGAGTTTCCTTGGAGTTATGGCTTACGGACAACTCATCCCCTAGACAACTCATCCCTGGACAACTCATCCCCTAGACAACTCATCCCCTGGACATCTCATCCCCTGGACAACTCATCCCCTGGACATCTCATCCCCTAGACAACTCATCCCCTGGACAACTCGTCCCCTAGACAACTCATCCCCTGGACAACTCATCCTTTATCACACAAAGCCAAATTGTAAAGTGTTTTTGAAAAAGAAATATTTAAAAAATACACCTTGGATCATTCTAAATATTATTTTATTAAAACTTTCATCTCTTGTCCTTATATTAGATGACTTAATATTTCATGACATAATTTTGAAACATGAACTTCAGTAACTTCATCTGTAAATACTGTGAAAAGATAATCTTTGGATTAAAGAATATTTGAGCTATGAACAACAAACATACTATGACATCAAAGGAGCTTCTTCAATCAATGTTAATATAATATTGAAATATATTAAAAGTAAAATTAGCCGTTTTTGATTTGAAACTTAGAACTGATCATGATAACCAAAACATTTAAATATCATTTGAATAATATATGAATTGATAATATAAAATCAAATTACTCAATGCCAAAGGATGAGTTGTCTAGGGGATGAGTTGTCCAGGGGATGAGTTGTCCAGGGGATGAGTTGTCTAGGGGATGAGTTGTCCAGGGGATGAGTTGTCCAGGGGATGAGTTGTCCTGGGGATGAGTTGTCTAGGGGATGAGTCGTCCAGGGATGAGTCGTCTAGGGGATGAGTCGTCCAGGGATGAGTCGTCTAGGGGATGAGTTGTCCGGTTACCGGAGTATCTACCCTAAACGTCATCTTTTTAGAACTCAATATCCATCCTATATTCGAGAATATCATCAATATTTTCTGTCACATTCAGGTCAGGGCTGTTTCCAGGATACTGAAATCTTTTTGGCAAAACGCTAATTTTTAAAATGCCTGTTACTTTTTACCATTTGAAGCATCATATGTAACTTTGGATAAGCTTAAAAATAATATATGACACATACAACTATGGAGAAATTGGTATATGTCTGCCTAGGGGGGGGGGGCATACTTTGGGACACTCTATATCTGGAAAGTGCAGAAGTTCAAAAGCCAGGTTATGGAACACAAAAAAAGAATTAGTAACATTGAAATTTAATCATATCAATGACAATTTTATGGATTAACGGACAAAATATTAGAGTAAATATATCTGATATGCCTATCATTAATTCATTATTATTACTTTATTATCAAATATTTTCCTTCTATTACACGTACATTATAGCATTTCATTCACTGTAAAATTAACTGTGAATTGAGATCTGTAAGGCCATTGTGACAACATACATTCGAGTTGACAACATACATTATCTATTTTTCGTAGTAGCATCCAAAGTAAAAAGCGGTTTTGCATTAACTCTGGATGTATATTTGTATACTTTAGTTGTGTTAGTCGCAGTTTGGCTGTTATTTGCATAGCAAAACAAAAATTAGAGAGAATTTTGCGAAATTCAGTCAGGATTTAGAGATCCCTGACGTACTGGGTAGATCTATAACAAGATATTGAAGTTGCTGAGGATCATTTGAAGTAGATATGCACATTTGCAACTTAATTACAAATCGAATGCAACAACTACCTGATGATGAACTGACACAATATTGATCAAATCAATGCTACTTCTTGCCTCGCTTCCTCATTCTAGAAAATGGCGATCTAAAATGGCGGAAATGACATAGTACATCAAAAGTGTACTACGGTATATTTTGTCACTGTCACGTGACTGTACCTTGTCGATGGTCAGGCGTGTTCAAGCGCCAATGGCTTTGCTGAAATTGATCGAGCCAGTGAATAAGCGAATATCAGTTAGTACACGCCTGACCATCGACAAGGTACAATCGAGCACTGCTCGAAGATCTTTTAACGCAATTAGAAAAATAAATGTCTTTGAAATCGAATACACACGAAATCAAACAGGAAATCCTTTTTGTATTCCTCAAATTTATTTTTGAAAACCTGCATCAAACCTACATCATAGTCTTTGCTTAAAATCAGTAGTCAATAGTGACATTGTACATCAAAAGTGTACTACGGCATATTTTGTCACGGTCACGTGACTGTACCTTGTCGATGGTTAGGCGTGTAGTAGCCAAAAACTGATATTTCTGTCTCTGGAGTCTCTGGAAATTATAGAATAAGAATGTCCATATGTATTGTGATATTGATAAAGGATGATTTATATATGATATCTCAGATGTTTTAGATGAAAAATAGAAATGCATAAACAAACCTCAGAGAAAAAAACTCCTCAGATTCTTCACATACAACTCGCGTCCTTTGAAACAATGTAGTACAGATAAATTATTAAGTCAGGAATAATTAAGAGGCATTATATGTAATCGAACGCCTTGAAATTCTTCCTCTGCGTTATTGCTAGCTTACATCACATTTTCTGATGATTATCAAAGCTTCGTAACACACTCCAAAGAATCCACATTAAAATGTAGAAAAATCAAAAATCAAATGAAAATTATGATGTATTTCGGATGATTATCTTGGCAGATATAATCTGCAACTTATTAGATCACTATTATGTACAATTATTGTTTAATTGAACTGTGTATCTATCTTAATTGTAATGCTGTGGTATGAGTGAATCTAAATGTAAAACATCAATGATAAATGAAGACGAAACGTCAAGGTAAGAAGATGTGCAGTAATGCTGTTCATCTGACTAAGAATCAAAGATCAGTGATAAATCTCACCAGGGCATGTATTTATGTGACAGAGGTTGTTACTTTCATATAGCAACTTACTTTACCTGGTATATACTGTAGCCTACATAATGACATGTCACAGGTTTAACAATAAAGGGATACCCAATAAGGCTAAATGAACAATAGGGCTACGAATATCAGTGACTGAATTGTCTACGAATTATTATTTTCCTTTTATATGTACTACAAACAATTTTTGAATTAAAAAAAATTGGTTAAACCTGAACATTAAATAAAGATCTACTTCACATTTCACGGGAAGGATTCGTTGTATCACCACGTCACATAGACACGGTTACCATACATCCGTGTGCACACCTGTGCATGAAAAGACAACGCGTGAGAAGAAAATGGCAGGTGCTGGAACGTGGATGATAATTCTCGGATTATACGCATTATACTCCCTAACACACGCACAGGAATTACAAGTGATTCGGTTTAGTAATTCGACGGAATTCGAAGGTCAGAATTTCTTTTTCATAGTCGACTAACGAAAACAAAATATGAAAAGGATGATAAGATAAATCAGTTCAGTCTTATTTTTTAACAGAAGGGTCAGGTTACACCTAAAAAACGCCTGGACAAAATCTATCATGTTTTATACGAAAAATTACAAACGAAATTGAAGACTTTATGTATCACAATTACTTTCGTATCACAATTACTTTCGTCTTGAAAGTACTATTCTTTTACATCAGCCTAATTGTTAGGCCGACATTCGATTAACTGATATTTTCAAAGTTTTATTGTATTGAAAACTTTTTATTTTTTATTCAATGCTCTAAACTTAATAACTAAAAATATTATTTCGTGTCTCACAAGATCCCCTTTTGGATATTGTATTTATCAGACTTATGACGTCAATTCATCGAAAAAATTCATACTCATGCATGATTTTGTGAGTTGTACAATTCAATCCTTTCTTACTTTTTACCATCACGAATGTTTTTTTCATTTGATCAAAGATACATACATCGTATCTCTGAATGTTTGGAATGATAATACAGAAAAATAAAGAAAATGTGACTGATAAAGGACCATGCACCTGTTTTTCCTTTACAGAGGGTATTGTTCAAAGCATCGGACACGCTTTATCATTGTATTGTTGGTGAAATAAGAGCATGTTGACTCCCAAAGGCCAGAGAATTGAGAGAATAACAGCTTCCAATGATTCACACACAATTTTTCAGTAAATGAATATTCTATTCTACCAATGGTCAGGTATTTGTCTCGCCTACCATTTGCCTGAATCTTATATTTCACTTTTTAGTGAGGTGCTTATTGGGATATTTCGAGTCCAGTACTGGCGATCTAGAACACGACTGTTGTCACTACTACCAATGCGTTGACCACGGCAACTCCGCATACGTACGTACATGCATGTACCCGACAGTCTGGAACATAGCGACGTGTTCATGTGATCATCGCTTCGCTCGCCCTGATTGTGAAAACACTCCGGATAGCTGTTATGATGGTTTGTTCTTTGTAGAATTCATCCGATACTATAAGATATTAAATGATTTATAATTTGTGGTGTTGCACTTGCGGGATATATTGTAATCAAGAAATTCTATATTGGTACGAGATGAAGTCGAGTGCTAATATAGAATATCGAGAGCACAATATAATTATCATGTATTGCACTTTAAATCATTCTATAACGTTTTAATCGTGTGATCTTAGGCCAATAGATTTTAGTCTGTATTCTCTGTATTGCCCGATCCTTAGATTGTCCCCTCCGTTCCAATATTTTCTGTATTGCTACGGAAATGATCAATGGGGACAATCTCAGTAGCCATACAGATTGGTACATTACAAGAACTGAGCAATCAGAATGCTTCATTTTACAGATCATACGATAAAAACATTATGTAATGACATTCTAAGGCTGACATGTAACTAAATCATTCGCAAACTTCATGATTGATTTTCAGAGCCACTTGCAGACACAAATTGTTCCAGTAAGACTTTCGACCCCGATCTGAATGGTAATTGTAGCCATCTTAGAATAAGTATTTTCCTGCATATCTTTTCAAAAACTACTTTACATACATATATAATCACAATGTTGGAAATCGTATTACTAGACAGTTCCACAATATACACCCCTGTAAAATAAAAACTGAATTGACAAAAAGGTCAGTGGCATATTCTGGTGCCATTTTATGGAATGCTTTGCCAATAGTACTTCGAACATGTAAAACTTTGAATTCTTTTAAACATAACATTAAAAAGGACCTTTTGGAAAAGATGAATGAAAACATTACATAAAATCACATTTTGTTTATTTAATTATTTCTCTCAAGACTTCAAAGTTTCTGTATTGTATCTATTAATTGTATCTGTATTGTTATATGTTATATTATATGTAATTTTGGTTGCTCTGCAACACATTTTGAAATAAGCACTGATACGCCCAATTACTAAGGGTGTCGAGTGCACACGTTTTGTACTTTACATTGTTATATTATGAAATAAACTATAACTATATAACTAAAAAAAAAAAAAAAAAAAAAAAAATAGAATATCGAGTTTGGATCCATTATGAGAAGATATAGCAAAGTATTAAGTATCTAGATCTTCAAACATTTTAATTTGTAATTTATCAAATATAAGTAATATGTTTACCTCTAGAATGTTGTATCAATGGAGATGTTTACACTTCTTTGGATCCAAACGTTGGTTATATGAAGTTTGGAGAGAGATTCCCTACGTTTTGTTCAGATGGTTTACATTTTGATCTTGAGGAGTGTGGCTGTGTAAATGGAGAATTGGACAACGAGACAGACACCGGTGAGTATTCTCCCCTCACAACCTTGGTAGAGAGAGATACATGACTTGTACGTTTAAGGTGAGTCAGATTTCAATGAGATTCTGGAATCTTCTCTAATGGCCGGGTTCATCCAAACAACTTCCGTTAAGCCACATATATGTAAATCTTGTTCGCTATTCTAGGAGATAAACGCAACAACAACAATGCTGTTGTTACGACGACTTTCTCGTCACCTTTTTGTCTGAAAAATTGTTAAACAATGAGTTGAGCGATTCTTGTAGTTGTTTACTGACAAGCATGTATGTATGGGCTAAAAGTGCAGATCTTAACTGTTTTTCGAAATACCATTTATGCAAAGTGAGGAATTAAATCGACGATTCTGTCGTCTTCTGAACTATTTGTTCGCAAATATGTACATTTTCTCAAACATATGATGCTGATACACGTTTGTGATAAAAATGTCGTGGGAATTCTGTCTACAACGTGTGAAATAAGCTTAGGAAAAGAGAAAAATTGTACCTTCGACGTTCCGACATTTTGTTACAGAAACGGTACCAGCGTAATCAAGTGGATCACCAGTGTGTATATGTCCATTCTTTGACAGTAGCAAGTCGAATGGCATTTTATTCTCATTCGTCACCATAACCGAAAATGCGAAATTCTATTTCAGAAGATACAAATCCTGACTGTCTTCACTGGGGATTCGATTTGGACTTCTCCGATGATTTAAAGTCAACATGGGTGAATCGAGGGAGCTTAAGATTCCGAGGCCCAGGTGTATTAAATACGAAAGCGTACATAGAGGCTAGTGGAGGCCAACCTGGATTCATTCCATACTTTACGAAGGTTGACCTAGGGAGCGAAATAACGATTTCAGTCTGGTATAGAACCCAGATATTCGAAGGATTCCTTTTCGATAATTTTGACGACAGAGATGGTGAATCGACACTTGAGTTTTCATTACAGCAAGCGTCTGAGATAAATGGAGGTGTCCCCCCGGATCTACCCGAAGTTCAGAATGACGAACTGATACGGGAAGAGTCGAATATAGCAATGGTCACATTGGGCTCTGGCAGGCCAATGGAGATACAAGTAATTATCATTTTATATTCTATTTATTCTCTATATTTGAATATAAGTTATAATCCGGGTAGTATTTTATCTTTCGGCTGACATTAACAAATAAATTATATCTAGTATGAATTCCTTAATAATAAAGAGGTTACAAAAGATGAAAGATGTAAATATGAAACCCATAGGCCTTGAAATGCCATGGACTTTATGAATTTCATGACTTTGACCTGATCAGCCCAGAAAGAAAGAAACCATATTTTTTTGAAAATATGACTTGATCTCGCATGAATAATTGAGTGATACAGGGTTTCAAAATTAATCAAAATTCATATTCATTTTCATATTTAAGTTACCTGGTAATGGAGTGGTCCAGAACGATGATATAAGTTTAACCAACCAGTCACATTCAGTCTGGAACAATGTGATTGTCGTTTTGAAAGACCAGGTCATAAAACTCTATAACAATGGTAGTTTTATTGGAGAAGGTGTCGACGAGGATGAAAGTAAGTGTAACCACATGAATACAAACAGTGACAATTCACTTGCAATGGATGTATATTCGGGATAAAGAAATACCAAACACCTTTCCATTTCGTTGTGACTATAATAGGTCCTTATTATGAAATGTTGGTTAAGAAAATCTTTAAAATCTTTTTCATAAGCGGCCCATGGAAATAGACTCCCTCTGGCTATAGGGAGAAATTACAGAGGGGATCTTGATGAGGTACGAGCCCACTATATTTGTCGATACTGTAGTTATATATACTTATGTGAGATGTACAAAAAAGAATCCTCGTCTGATTTGTAATTTTAGTTGATCGTTTGTCGATACGCTTGGACGGCTAACCAGGTTGAACGATATGTTGAAAATGGGAAGATCCCCAAAGGAAAAAATGGAGATAGGACGAGAAAGAAGAAGAAGAAAGATAAGGTTGATGATAATGAAGATGACTCTTAACGGATGCAAGTTTCAATCAAATACGCAGAATGTTCCACTCTGTATACCAGTTATATGAATAAATCAAACTCACTTGGTGAAATCAATAAAATAATATATAAAAAGATGTTTTATTTTCGGATATTTGTGTAAAAAGATGCGTAATAATACAGTATTTCCATTCAGTATTGTAATTATTATATTATATTATGAAGGAAAAAAATATAATCAGCAAAATATACTCTATTATATAGAGATTAATATAATATAATTAGAAATAAGCGAGATCCAAATATGATGATTGCAGTTTATTTAGAATTTTTTTCTATTCTAAAAAATATTATTTTCTTGTATTTTCCAATCTGAACAGAATATATCAAATTATATTGTATTATTTGGGTTCTAAAAAATATTATACGCGATTATTCTCGCCCAACTTGATGTACAATCCATCTGGTTAATTACTTAACCAAACAAAACAAAGAATGCACAGAGTGGCAGTTAATAGGATTAACCGTTCTACTGGCCTTCTCATCTCCATTACTTACAAATGTCACACATACATTTTATTTTGATTGTTCTATTTCTATTTGAAACATATTTACAAAATAAATATTTAGAAGAAATTAATAAATTTAATTTGATTAAAATTAATGTTAACAATGGAGTAAACATGTGAAGAAAAGTCATCAATTAAAAATCAAAAAATTAACTTTCCGATGAGTTAATCAATTCAATCCAAATTTTAACACAATGTTAATCATAGAAAGAGGGACACTATACCATCAAATAAATATGAAAAACTTAATTTGCAAATTATTATTTTTTGTGGAAATAAGAAGAATCAGTTCTAGATATTAATCCATTAACTCTAACAAACGGATTAGCTATCAGTGAACAAAACTCATTTCATAGAAATTGAAAAAACTTAGGGATTAAGGTATTACAGTTGGGGACAAAAATAAATGACAGGTCGATTTTCGATCACCATTTCCTAATTATGGTGGTCTGAAAGCCCATAATTTCCAATATTGTCTAGATACATATCCCTTAAAATTTGTATATTTTACATTTTGTATAATCTCATCCACTGATTTATGGCCTCTTGTAAATTCTCTTATTTTTAACATGGGAAATCCTCACTTCAGCAAATCCACCTGTCATTTATATATGTCCCCAACTGTACTTATATTGCTCTGACATCAATAAATGTATGTGAATGGTGAAAATCTGCATGATTTTGAAAGAATTGTTGGCCAAGGGGAGGGGATCGTTACTCGATAGGTACGGGCCTGTATAAAATTCGTAATGTACTTGTATTTAACTGACAAATTGAGCAGTTCTGTGTCAAGACTATTTTTGTGGTTGGCAAAGTGAATACAGGTGGTTGTTTGTGTCTCACTCTGTGTAAGAGGGGGCCTTAAATGTTGTTTGTTGTAAACTTAATGTGGCAGAGAAACAATGGAGTGGAAACTCATTGATTAAAACTTAACTTTCCGTTGAGTCAATCAATTAAATCCAAATTTTAACACAATGTTAATCATAACATAAGGGGCATTATACAATCAAATAAATATGAAAAAATTAATTTTCAGAACTGTTGGCTGTAGGAAATTAATCCATTGCCTCTAACAAACGGATTAGTTGTCAGTGTTAATGAAGCTCATATTAAAGAAATTAAATAATTAGGGATTAACATTTTACTTATCATATTGCTCTGACATGCTGTATGTCAATATGTTATTTACATCAGTTTGTTCTACCATGCACCAATTTGCTCAAAGCGTAATTATTGCTTTGTCAGATGAAACATTAGGAATAAATGTAAAGTGTGCCCACTTCTTTATTTTCATTATCAAACAACTAAACATACCGAATCTCGCACCTTTTGAATATATATATTTGGAAATGGAAAACAAAGAAAGTTGTAATAAAAAGAAATGATCCAATTGTAGTAGAAACAAATGTATAACATCATGTACTAATCTGATGTTTATATCCCCCCTCCCGGGATATCCCCGGTTTATATCTCAGATATTATATGGATAACAGAAAACACACGAATTGTGAAATGTGAGAGAATACAAGTTCTTATTTTGTTTTAGCATGGCTTAACACCACTTGTATCGGTTAACCTAATGGACGTTTCCTTATTTATTATCAGTGATTTGTCAGAAAAATCGGAGCAAAACATACAATATATTACAGGCTTGTAATAAGTTTTAGCCAAGGGGATCAATTTTCAAAACATACCAAGGGTTCACAATTGATAATAGGATTTTGAAAGAATTTTGGCAAGGGGGAGGGTGATTTACTCGAACCCAACGACCCCCCCCCCCTTCCTTGCCATGGACCTGTATCAAATTTGTAATGTATTGATATATAGCAGTTTCGTGTCATCAATGTTTTGTGTTGTTTGTGAAGTGAATAAAGGTGTTTGTGTCTGTGTGAGAGAGGGCTTTAAGTCTTGTTTGTTGTAAGCTTAATTTGACAGAGAAACTATTGATTTAAATTGTGAGGAAACCAAATGGAGTAAAAATGTGAGGAAAGCCATTGATTAAAAATTAACTTTCCATTGAGTCAATCAATTAAATCCAAATTTTAACACAATGTTAATTATAACATAAGGGACATTATACGATCAAATAAATATGAAAAACTAAATTTGCAAATTATTTTTTGGTTGAAATTAGAACCATCGGCTGTAGAAATTAATCCATTAACTCTAACAAACAGATTATTTATCGGTGTGAACAAAACTCAAATCATAGAAATTGAATAATTAGGGATTAAAGTTTGACTTATTATATTGCTCTGGAATGTCAATACATGTATGTGAATGTTGAAAAACTATATGAATTTGAAAGAATCGTTGGCCACGGGGAGGGGGTCCTTAAGTATGGTTCTGTATAAAATGTGTAATGTGTTCATTAATTATTGAGCAGTTCTGTGTCAGGACTCTTTTTGTTGGCAAAGTGAATACAGGTGGCTGTTTGTATCTGTGTAAGAGGGGGATTTAAGAGTTGTTTGCCAAAAACCTAATGTGACAGAGAAACAATGGAATAAAAATGTGAGGAAAACCAATTAATTAAAAATTCAAAAATTAACTTTACAATGAATTAATTGATTGAATCAAAAATTTAACACAATGTTAATCATAACATGAAGGACATTATACAATCAAATATATATGTAAAAACTTATTCTGCAAATTATTTTTGTGGAATTTTTTAGAGCCATCAGCTGTAGAGATTAATCCATTAACCATAACAAACGGATTAATTACTTAAGTATAAGTATGAATGAAACTCATTTCATAGGAATTGAATAATTAGGGATTAACGGCTCGAAAATAAACGCGTATAATCGGTTTTTGATTGCAGATGCCAACATATTATTTGCTCCTGACAAAAATATTATTCTATATTATATGGTATTATATGTTGTTCCCTTTAAATAATACACGAATAATATTATTAAATCAAAAATAATTCTTCAAAATACGTATTATATTTTTTTCCGCTATAATACAAAAAATAACTGCCTATTATACTGGAAAAAATATTCTCTATTATTCTCTCTTAATGCAACTTATTTTGCAGTATATTAAACATTTTATTCTATATTATTCTTACATTTTTACCAAGTGACTGCTACACATAATTGTGTTGTTTCTAGATGTTAACGCATAGTTGGATCAAGGTTTTATTTAATACCCGGGCCTTAAGTTGTGTACCAAACGAAACGACACGACACCCAGGGCTTTGTATGATCTTCATTAGACAATGGTGGAATAGAGGGGTCAGTGTTCTCAGACCTAGGTACCGTTTAGCGGTTATTTTACCCTATGGCATTGCAATCCGTTCAAATCATTAGCTACATAATTGATTAACTTAAAAACAGACGCGGACAATCTTCGTTTTAACAAGGACAGATAGACAATTGTCTCTGAACGGTTCGTGACCAAAATTCACTAAACTAGAGAGATTGTTTTTACTTATCAATCATCAACATGTGCTGGCATATTCAGCTCTGGACTTCATGTCCAAAGGGGGGTAACACACTGTCAGAATGAAAGTTCTCACACCCCTATGTTTAATTGGCTAATTCAAATCGGATGCGGTAAAAACCGAATGCAATTTGCGAACGTTCCGGGTATCACGTTCGCCCTTGTTTGGATTGTATTTTGTAACAGTCGATCGCGATCGGTGACGTTTCAGCATACTGAACCAATGTATGAAAAGCAATAACGTTTCATATGGAAAACCCAAAAGAGGGCGCTATTGAAAAGGTATAAAAGGTACACAATATCTAAATTTAAAATCGAGATGATGATTGATTGAAACGAAGTTTCAGTGCAATCATCTGTGAAACTTTTTATACATTTTATTTTGTTTATATTATATGTATGTCATTTCTTTTTTTTCTTTTTTTTATTATTTATTTATTTATAAAAAAACAGATGTACATGGGGTAATATAGTAAATACAAGAGAGCATATTCAAGTGCTAATCACCATTTTGGCATTATAAGCACTCTAGCCAAGCGGGGAAAAAGATGAAGAGGGGTGGAAGGGGGGGGGTCTGAGCTGGGCTGGGACTGGGGGAAATACAGGGCAGAGGGACAATGTAATTTATATTTGCAAGACAAGGCAGGGTACAATAGGTTCTAAGATAGTCTTCTTCAGTCTTGTTCAATATGGGGTAAGCCATCTCTTAATAAAGGCAGAAGTCAGAGTAAAGATTTTTGTGTTTTCATCCTTGCTAAAATTATGATTGCCAAAGGCTAGGTATTCTAAAAGTGTGGATTGGTTAGTGGGGATCAAAGGAGTTTCAGTATAGAGAGTATTGAAAAAGATGGTTCTTGCATTTTCATTCAGAGGGCAGTGAAAAAAGAAGTGTTTTGGAGTTTCGGGTAGACCACAAGAACAATTAGGAGAGCTGATGAAGGTGTAATTGTGGGCAAAGAGTTGAGCCCTGAAGAGCAGGTCTACCCTAAACCTATTTATAAGTGTTTCTTCATTTCTAGAAATATTTAGCATTGAGGTAGGGATTATGTTTATGTCAAGGTTGAGAAGGTGCTTGCGATTG